TTATTTTTTATTCTATTGTTAAACTCTATAGTTTTATAAAACTCCTGTATATCCTTAAAAATTTACAATTTAAGAGAATATTGTATCTAATCAAAATTATAATTTTATTTATAGAAATATTATTATTATAGAAACAAAATTTTGTTAGATTTAAATCACAAGTGAAGTCAATGTGAGCTTGTCATACAACTGTTTGGAGATATGAGCTCATAGGTGATTTTACATTGAAATAAAAAAAATTGTTATCTGCAAAGAGAAAAAAATACCGCTGCCCTAACTGTGCAAACCAGATTCTTTACTGTCCAAATAGCAACCTTAGCTGTGTGTTATGATTTTTCGTTCACGTTCAAGTAAGATCGATCAGTCCGGTAATTTGTTCTCCTGTATACAGGAGAAAAGAATACATGTATATACATTAGCCTGTCAAAATTTAATATACATATTGACATATACATTTTAGGATTAAAGAGTATGAAAAAATTATTTTTAACATGAAGGCCAAAATGTTAAAAATGAAGAAGAAAGCCAATGCTAAAATTATGGGAATAGAGCATATGAATACCCACACAGAACACGCTATCCAATGGATATCCAATGGCTATCCCAAAAAAAAACATTAAAAATATTTTTTTCTTTTTTAAAATAGCCCCTTATAGGATAAATTTATGTAATGATTAATAAATATGATTTAAATCGTTATTAACCCAATTTCAACAAAGTATCTCTAATATATATCCAATGGATAACTAATGTATGTCCAAAGTATATCCACTGTACATCTAATGTATATCCACTGGATATCCACTGGATATCCAGTGGATAACTCATATGGATATCTTGTATATATACTTGTATGTATACATGTGGGATTTTGCGATGGTTTAATTGAGAACTAGCATATGTCAAAAAAACAACTTTACGGTAAATTGATTTTTTGCCAAGAGATACGAAATTTTTAATTTTGAAATGTTCACTTTACCTAGATATTATTTCTGTTAATAAAATGACTATGACAGTCTGCAATACAATAAAAAATTACTTAAAAAAGTCCCTTTTGTTTATTATTGTATTTCATAGTACTACGCACGCGCTGAATTTGAGAATCTTCAGTGTTGCCGGTTATAAGCAAAATAACTAAACGAAATATATGTCCGTACTTTATTAAGTTTTAATAAATAAATTAAATAAATTTAAAATAATTATTCACCACATTTATGTCAAATAGGTATACTAGGTATACTAATTAATTAAGTATTAAACATTTAATAATATAACCGCCATTTTGATGAGCTTTCTGAAATTATTTAAACGTCTGACAACACTGCCGGAGAACACGTGTACAGAAGATAAAGAAGCGTCCTTTTTCTATGGTAGCGTCGGTTAAATTTGTTATATGTTATATGCAGAGTTATATGTTTGTCATAAAGTTTATAAAGTTATAAAGTTTATAAAGTTTATTGTTTTGTGATTATTGGTTTGAGGTCTCTAGTGGTAAGTAAATATTTTATTAATTTTCTAATCATAGTTATCATTTTAAATTGTATTGGTCTAAAACTAATACAATTTTAAATTAAATAGGTATATTTAAGTGCAATTTATAAACTTTCGGTTAGCATTAAAGGTTTATCTTTATCTTTGTAGTATAGTTACCACCCTGCTTAAAATACCCCATAGAGACCCTGTTCAAACCGTTTCAAACTGTTTCTATAGGGTGTATCGGTATGTATATATACATACCGATACACCCTATAGAAACAGTTTGAAACGGTTTGAACAGGGTCTCTATGGGGTATTTTAAGCAGGGTGGTAACTATACTTATAAGACCCATAGTTGGGATTTATGGTTGTTCTGTACGGATATCCATCCTTGATTTATTAGCTATTGGTTTCAATGGGTAAAGTACACATAGGTAAATATTGACCCCCTCCCTCTTGCCAGAAAGTGACAATTTTAAGACCCCCCAAAGGGTCACATGGGGCGAATTTTCAAACGCCTCTAGGTACCCCCTAAAATTATTTTTTTTAATTCTTTTTTGCATTAATCTGGCTTGAAATGGAACAGATAGGCAATTTCATTTGATTTACTTTCTGAAGTGACGGTTTAAAACTTGACCCCTCATGGGTATGACAAATCTTGACGGTCCTTCAAACCTTCCCTCCTCTCTCCAGCATCACAAGACTTATGTAAAAATAAGCAAATAAAATTATAAAAAATTGGACTTTGGCCCTTCTTCCATTCATCGATTCAATTATATTTGTGTCGAAAGCCATTATAGGGTGTCCATAATTTATGGATCATAAAAGGTCTACCTATCACAACTTTATTTCTTAATTTTTTTTTTTCTTAATTAAAATATTTTAACTACAAGAAATAGGTTTTTACATATTTAAATTCAACTAATTTTTTCTTTAAAATCAATTAAAAAAACTTCCAGCTTGGGTTTTAGAGACCTAGGTCAAGTTATTTCAAAAATAAAAGAAAGTAAATCCTGTAACTTTAAGTAGGTATGTATTTTTATTACATATAATTATCTCAATTAAAAGTTCAATTTTTCTTTTTTTACAACTACACTTAAATTTGAAATTGTTATTAATTTACCATTAAACCATATCCACATCATAAATCATAATAATAAAAAACAAATACTATCTTAAATACTATTCTTATTTGCAGACAATGCCTAAAAAAATTAAAAATAAGAGATTAATGGATATATCCAAAAGGCAATTTCAAAGAAGAGTTAATATATTGGCTGCAAAAACTGCACTCAATGTTTTTACATCCAAAGAAAGTGTACCTTCCACCTCTAAGGAAGTTTTTGCAGGCACCCTAATAAATTCTACAAACGTTTTTTTAGAAAATTCCCCAATATATTTAACTTCTAAAGAGTCTTGTTCAAAAAATACAGATGTGTCCAATGATGAAGATTTTGATAAATATAGTTATTGTTCAGAAATCAATACTGATACATCAAATCAGGAGGATGATGTGGTTTTGGTACCCAATGATGAACATGAAGATGTTGATGAATACAGTTTTCTCCCAATACCTTTAACTTATAAAGAGTCTTGTTCAAAAAATACAGATGTGTCCAATGATAAAGATTTTGATGAATTCAGTTTTTGTTCAGAAAATAATACTGATACATCAAATCAGGAGGAGGAAGTAGTTTTGGTAACATTTAAACAAAAACTGGCATTATGGGCAACAGAATATAATATACCACAAAATGCCATGTCCGAACTTTTAAACATAATAAATAAAGAATTTCCAAGTTCCAGTTTGCCAAAACATGCAAAAACACTTTTAAAAACGCCTAGAAAAACTTTAATAAAAAACGTCCCTCCCGGACAATATTCTCATTTTGGCATATTAAATGGAATTTTGGACATATTAAACGTTCAAAATACATATACAAATTTAAAACTAAAAGTTGGAATTGACGGGGTGCCCCTTGCTGACTCTAATAATAGTCAGTTGTGGCCTATTCTAGGCTCAATTTTTCCAAATTCAGAAGTGTTCTTAATAGGGGCATATTATGGATTATGCAAACCAAAAGATTCTAATGAGTATCTTAGAGAGTTGGTTGACGAAATAAAATATTTAACTGAAAATGGTATTATTTTTAAAGGTAAAAAAATAGATTTTTCATTGTACTGTATCATTTGTGATGCTCCAGCCAAATCTTTTGTCACAAAAACCAAAGGACATTGTGGATATTTTGGCTGTACTAAATGCATTCAAGAAGGAAATTACCTAAACAATAGAATTTGCTTTCCAGCAACAAATTCCTCTAAAAGAACTAACGAAGACTTTTTGTCCCAAAGGTATGAAGAGTATCATTTGGGAACGAGCATATTAAGTGAAATAACAAATTTTGGAATGGTTACCCAAATACCATTGGATTATATGCATCTGATATGTATTGGTGTTGTTAAAAAAATTGTTAACTTATGGATTAGTGGTAACTACACTATACGATTACAGCAGAGAAAAATTTCACTAATCTCAGATAGGTTAATTTCTTTAAAGATTCATACTATAAAAGAATTTGCCAGAAAACCTCGCGAAATAACTATGATAGGAAAATGGAAAGCCACTGAGTTAAGGCAATTTCTTTTATATACTTGCCCAATTATTTTATTTAAAATATTACCAAAAACCCTTTACGAACATTTTCTTACATTGCACGTAGCAATAAGAATTTTATGCTGCCCTAATTATGTAAAAACTTATGCCAGCTATGCACATGATCTTCTCAAACATTTTGTTGAATCTTTTAAAACCATTTATGGTGAAGAATATATATCACACAATATTCATGGGCTCATTCATTTAGTTGATGATGTTAAAATATTTGGACCTTTGGATAACTTCAGTGCATTTCCTTTTGAAAACTTTATGAGAACACTAAAACGCATGCTTAGAAAGCATGAAAAACCATTGCAACAGCTACATAGACGATACCAAGAGAAAAACATCACTAGTAATTTAAGAGCAGCACACAATATTAAAACCATAGAATTTAAAGAACACCATTCTAATGGACCAATTATAAAAGGTTTAAAAACAGAACATGAGTTTAAAAAGATACTAACCCCAAAGTGGATGTTGTCTGTAAACTCACCAGATAATTGCTGCATGATTGACGACAAAATCATTAAAGTGTATAATTTTTGTTTAAATGAAGAAAATAAAGCTGTTGTGATTGGAAAAGAATTAAAAAAAGTATGTGATATTTATGAGAAGCCTTGTAAATCAAGTATTTTTAACTGTTGGGTGGTTGAAGAAGCTCCAAACTCCCAACTTGAAGCATGGCTTGTAAAGCAAATATCCGTAAAATATGTTAAACTTCCCTTTGAACAACGGTTTGCTATTTTTCCTTTACTTCATGGAGACACCAATTAGGTAATAATTAATAGTTTTACCATTTACCATAATAAATTTTTTTATACTAACAAATATTTTTACAAAATATAGGAACTTTCTTTTTTTAAATTTTAAGAACATTTAAAAAAAAATTAGTGGGCAGAGATTTTTTATTTACACTTTTTTTTATCTTTGTTAAATATTTTTTTATTTTATGATTTATAATTTTAGAAATGGATAATTTTTGCGTCGTGGAGTTCAATGATGGGGTGCAGATGGTTCCTGAAAATTGGATTTTCGGAACAAAATGTTATTGGCCACATTTTAAAAGTTCCTCGCGGTTTATTAAGGCAGTCCAATGTAGAGAAAATCCTGATTCCACATGGTCCCTTTATTCTGTGAAAATATTAGGAACATATGGTAATAAATGTTTAGTTAACAATATAACTATATATAAAGTATATTTTTTAGATTGTTATGAAACAGCCAAAAAAAAACTAAAGTTAGCAGAAGAAAGAACCGATTTGGAGTCAAGTGATGCAGAGGATGCGAAAAAAAAAAGAAAATTAAATCACAAAAAAAATTTATCAAGTGGACCTGATAGTGATGAAGATGATTTTATTATTTCATCGTTTCCCAAACCCCCACAAAAAGTTTTGACCTTGCCAAATAACAGAGGTATTAAAGCTGAAATACAATTATATACATACATACATTTTTATACATATACATATATATAATTGCATTTAAGCTGATTTTAATGTAGGTATATTTTAATATTATAGTGCTTTCCAAAACAGAAACTGAAGTTATCGAAGACCTTAGTGATGAAACACCAGGGACTTCAGAAATGGAAGATTCCACAAGTAATTTAACTTCATCAAATAAAGGAGGTATTAAAATTACTTAAAATTAAATTATATATATATAAATATACATACATATACATATATAAGTAGGTATATTAATGTTTTTTTAATTTTAGAAATAAACCATGAAAGCAAAGTTCTTAAGGAGCTCTTTGGTATTAAACTAAAACTGGTTAAAATGGAACAAATTATCGAAAATAACAAATGTAAATGTAAACAAGTTGATGACAATATACAATTGGAAGAAATGGAAGATTTTGAAAACATATTTCCAATCAATAATGATGATGAATTAAAACGTATCGAACTACTATTAGAAAATACGGATTATAAAAATAAATTGGTATGTACTAGAAAAAAGTAAACATATACCTAAAAGTTTTAGAATAATTGGCTCTTGTTTGGGAAAATTGTTGTAAAAACTGTTGTGTTTAATTTTAATAAAAACAAAATTAAATTTAAATGATATCTTAAGATCTTAACCAGATCTGTACAAACATTTTTAACATTAAAAATAGTTTGCCAGCAACATGCGTCAATTATAAAATTATATATTTTTTTAACAATTTATTTTCTTAAGGGTAAAATACTTACTCAATTAGGTGGCATTCGTGTAGATGAGAGGGCCAAACTTATACTAAGGAAAATCATCACGGACAAATTCGCCATGGAATTTAATTGGCTGGGTTTGAAAAATAAAAAAAAATTCGAAAGCCTTAATTTAACGAAAGTTATAATACGTGAGTTTTTTTATATTTAAGTTTGAAAGTTCCACATGAGCCATTTTTTTTTTCATTTAAATAACATGGATAAGTAAAAAATTTTTGGTTTCCAGTTTTTACAATTTTCCATTTGAGAGTAGGTATTCCTGGACTACAATTTCGTGAACTCGTACAAATTTTACATTGGATTTTGCAAAAAAATTAAATTAACATTTTTTAAGTTTCCCTTGTTATTTAAATGGCAAATGGATCCTGCGTAACCCCTTAACGCTGATGAGATATTGAGCTTAAAATTTGGTATGATTAAGTGAGACCGATTTTAAATTTTATCTATTATTTAAAATAAAACTAATTTTTGACATTTTCAAATTGTAATTATATATAACAGTTTATATTAATTAAAAATTAAAAGTTTACCCTTTCGCTTACTATTTTTCAGAAGGAACTCGTTTTAAAAGTGCCTTTACTGAAAAGGAGGTAATTGATGCTATAAAAAATTGGCTCCGACATGCTAAAACCCGAAATTTTAATAAGTGAGTATATTTAACAAAAATTATATAGGTAAACATAAATTGTTTAAAAAGTTTTTAAAAAAATTCATAGCACCTCTACTAATATGAATTTTTACATCTTACTACTATAATTTAAGTTTTTTACCTTTTACTGCTAATATTTATATTACCTACTTTTAATTAATTCGCCACTAAAATGAAAGTTATGTATATTCAAAAATATTGCACTGTATATCTATAGCTATAGATATTAATAAAAATAGACTAATTTATATTTTTATTGTATTACAGGGAATCAAAACCTTAATTGAAATACATACAGAAAATTGGAATGTGCAATTCATTATTTGAATGTTTTTATTTGTTATTTTAAGAAATAATTTTGTTAATTTTATAAAATATATTTAGTTTTTTATGTGTTTATTTTAATTAAAACCATACAGAAAATTGGAATGTGCAATTAATTATTTTAATGTTTTTATTTGTTATTTTAAGAAATAATTTTGTTAATTTTATAAAATATATTTAGTTTTTTATGTGTTTATTTTAATTAAAACCATAACACATTTTATTATTGTGAATATCTTTGGGGTCGAGGGTAACAAATGGGCTGATGGATTGGCCAAATTTTGGGGATCATAAGGAGACAGGTGAAATAGGCCCTAAATGATTAGGCTGATAAAAAGGCAAATGACAGCTGGAGGAGTGATGGCAAGCCAGAGACCACTTCTTTAGTTATATGTAGTTTTCTGTTCTATTTTATGTTTTCATAAAAATAAATATTTAAATTAAAGAATAAGACTTTTATTTTAAAACCCAATGTTATTTATTGAAAAGTAAATATCCATTGATTCACCATATCCAATACAGATGACAACCATATTGCATACAATACTATATCCATTGGGTATCTATTGGATATCCACACTATGTCCAGGAGGGTCGGACATTTATATATCCAATGGTTATCCATTGGATATCCATACAATCTCCATATTGAATACAGATTACAACCTTATTGCATACAATACTATATCCACTGGGTATCCATTGGATATCCACACTATGTCCAGGAGGGTCGGACATTTATATATCCTATGGTTATCCATTGGATATCCCGGATATCCTATGTATATCCTGGATATCCATAAAAGAAATCCATTGGATATCCATTGGATGTAATTGTTCCGTGTGGGTACTGGCGAAAAGTACGGAATCTACCTCTTCTTGCTCCATCAACAATGGATGAGAGTAGAATCTATAGTGTACCTAGTAAACAACCAGTGGCGGATTTACAAATTTTCAAGGTATAGGCTGAATAGTTTGTGCCGCCCTTGCCTCAACAATTGTCATATCATACATTATTTTTACAATGCAACAATTTCGTTGAAATTGCACGTAAAATAATTTTTCGGTATATTTTTGAGCTAATCGAAGCTCAATCAATGTATACTAGGTTGCCTAATTTTGTGATTTTTAACATGCGCGAATAAAGATCAAACAGACCTTGTTGTGTGGATTGTGAGGTAACCCATACGGTTATTGGAATAGAGAAAGAAGCTCGCCACGTGCACGTGCAACATTGACGTCATTGATAACATTGTAGCATTAAAAAAATACCGCGTTCGGGGAAAAATATTTTTTTTGACTTAAGACTATCTCGCTATTACTGTTCAAAATTTTTTTTGAATTCCAATCGAATTTTCTGAAGCTACTAGTGCATGTGAAACACATAATAGTCGATACATAAAATTTAAATCGGTAAAATTATTCACTAAATTATTCATTATATTCGAATAAAAATCGAAAAATTATATACAAACCATCCAGTTCGTAGCCTTCAACCAGTAGTAAGACTGGCATGTATGGGTTGTTAGTGGGAAGAGGGACATATTTTTTACAATTTCGCTCTTTTCACTCATAAGAAGTGTGGGCAAAGGGCGCAGAGGCGAGAGGCCGATTACTGGTTGAGGGGCGGCGAACTAGCTGTTTTACTCTAGAATATGGAAGTTTGCTACTCTCGGAATGTGCAATGACAAGTGAGAGAGAAAAGTCATCGACAAAATTTGTTGCAGACTTCTATCTGTAAGACATCAGAAAACCGTCATAGAAAAATCTTTTTGATTTCTATGAGGTAAAAAAAAATCGTTCCCCAAATTTGCCGCCCCCAAAATCTGCCGCCCTAGGCTCGAGCCTACTCAGCCTGCTGGTAAATCCGCCACTGTAAACAACTGTACTTTTAAGTTTCAAATATTCTATTTTATGTAAAATTGTTATTAGAATGTATTGTTATTAAAACGTATTTTTAAATTTTTTGTTAGTATACTATAGTTGACTAGTTAACCCTAATTAAAGATTAAATATGTTAACATATTATATACTTTTTGGTATTCTTTTATCAATTTAAATATGCTAAAATGTGATATTTTATAAGCATGATATTTTTATTTTGTTAAATTATATGCAAAAATTTTACTTAGTGTATTTAACAAATACTTTTGATGTTAATTTGTTTTTAATATTTATTTTGATTTTTTCATATTGAAAATATATAATAATTTTGTGTTTTATTTATATATCTAATTACTAGAAATCCTACCTTCATCGTTAATAACTTTCAAAAAATAAATTTAGGTTCTACCTATTATATTTGTCAAATAACTAAATGAAATTATTATTTATATTACTTTATCTTAACTATTAATTTATAAAAGAATCATCAACTATAGTTTATATTTATTCTTGTCAAATATTATGCCTAAAACATTCCTGTTTAGTTTCTTTAAAACTGGATACAACTATTTTTACTTGCTAACATACTTTCATTATTGATAATTTTATTTATAGAATTTAATAATGCCAATAATCAATTTCTAAGTAAATTTAATAAAAGTAGTAATAATTATTATTATTAATTATTAAAAAAGTTATTGATTACCATATTCTTGTAAAATAATGTTTAATTAACACATTTCTGTTTACTTAAAAACTTAAAACATCTAATTTTGAGTCAAAATACCTTTTATTATTATGTTATATCTTTATAACTTATTTATTAATTAAATTCATTAATTAACATATTTTTGTCAAATCTTTTCTTTAAAAATATTTGGATTTACATATAAACTTTAAACAACTACTTTTATTTTTAAATTAATGGCGGCAAATAAATAAAAGATGGTGGCATCTAAACTCTCACGTGGTGGCGCAGAACAGTCCTGATTTTCGTTAGAATTTTATCGAGATAGAACAGACCTTGGTGTTTGGATTGTGGTATACATAAATATTTAGTTGCAAGAACATAATCTGCTAATTGTAAATAAATGTATGCATTTACGTCAAATTAATATCAGTTTGTCCGAAACCAATTTTACCAAACTAAGTAATTACTTGCCTTAAGTCTATATTATTTGCCCAATATACAACCACAGAATTAGTTTACCTAAAATCAATTTCGATTCTCTTAAACAAATTGTTTTTTCGGTGTACACTTAAAACTGATTTAAAATTGACACCCTGTGCATCCAGCAGGAAAACAAAAGAAAACAGCGATAAATCTCATCTAAAAGACGCCATCTGTCGTGTGATTTAGGAGGCCGCGTAGACGACGCGTCGCTTCCTGTTAGGTCCTGCTACAAGCCGGCAGGATATGCAGGAATAAATATATTTATTTATCGTCCTCGAGGAAAAAATCGCGGATATATGTTAATTTTTGTATTTTTGTGTTTTTGAATGCTGCGCGCTGTTTTTTATTGCGCTTCCTGCTTCATATTCGATAGCAGGAATAATATTTTACGACGCGAATTTATTATTTTATGCGGACTTGATTAGTGAAATTATGCAGCAGGATTTCGATTGGTTGTGCAGGAATTTAAAAAATTTAGTTAAATAACCCAGAGTCATCTGAGTTTTTTTGAAATGATTTAGGAACTATTACAGGCTATAGTTATTTTGTTTTTTAATCAATTTTTACTAAGACATGTCATTTCTAAGCCTATTTTATGAAGTGCAGAAATATTAGCACATAGTATACAGGGTGTTTACCTTTAGCGTGATACATCAAGTTGAAATTTTCAGTGTAATATCTAGTCCATATCTGACTAATGGCTTTTCAGAAGATCAAAATCGAATAAAAACGACATTAGGCATGTTTTTTCGTCCCGGAGGACACAATGCTTCCATCCCCGGCCCCCGTACAGCCAAGAAAAGACAGATAAGATAAAATTGTACACATCCAGAGTCATCATTAGTTTTCTTAGCCAAAAAGCCTCGGATGTCAGCGTGTCACACAATGCACGCCACCACCGTCGGTCAATGTGTATTTTTCAGCGTCGGTTTCAGGCGTCGCGACGTCTAGATAAGAGGGGAAAGCGTCTTTTTGCTCCCTATGGGGGAGATATGGTGTAATTAGCCATAGCTCGGACGTTATGCCTTGTAGCTTGATTGTTTTTTTGAATATGGCATTTGGTAAAAATATTTTAAAAATTGATAAAATTTGCTATAATTTGATATATTATTTTTAATTTTTGATATACATTAGAAAAGTTTCACGCGTGAAACTTTTCTCTCTTTACCGCGGTATACCGCAATATATTGAAAAAATTCTTATTAAAAATTACCTATGCATATGTATGTTCATAAAAATTAAGAATTAAGTATATAATAGGGTGATTTAAAAAACCCTTTTTTTTCGGAATTACCCTCAAAAGTTTCGTATTGATATAAAAATGAGCCTGTGAAAAAATGAGCTCTTAATATTAATATTTTTGTAGAGTCTAAAGTCATTTTTTGGTTAACTCGGTTAAAAGTTATTCAAGGTTAAAGTGAAATTAATTTAGTCGTTTTCTCGAAAAAACTCCGGGATTTTTTAGTTCAA